TTGACAGAATCCTAAAAGGTGAGTGTTGCGGACGACAGGAGCTGGACCTGACCTTCAGCAGATGTGACGACACCGCTGTGCTGTATTTTTAGATGAAAGTTCCTCCTCTGTCATAAAACATCTGTGCTGGATCTTTAGTTTTGTACCAAGTCAAACAGAGAAGCATCAAACCAAAAAGACTGATTTTTTAAATGTGCTGCCTGCGATTCTACACTACTTCAGTCCTATTCAGATGTTCCAGAAGCTCATTCACAGGTTTTAGCCAAATTTAATAATAATAATAATAATAATAATAATGCATCGGTTTTATATAGCGCTTTTTTGGACACTCAAAGACGCTTTACATGTCATTATTCATTCACTCCATACACGGTGGTGATAAACTACTACTGTAGCCATAGCTGCCCTGGGGCACACTGACAGAAGCGAGGCAACCAGTCTGCGCCATCGGCCCCTCCGACCACCACCAACCATTCATACACACACCAGACTCATTCTAGGCAATGGGGGTGAAGTGTCTTGCCTAAGGACACAACGGCAGTTTGGCACTTTACAGCCGCAGACGCCCCACTGAGTCACAACTTGGACTCTGAGGAGCACAGGGACTGGCCTCCTGCTGGTGACCAGAGACAGGACTAATCATGAGGAGACAGTGTTTCAGAATCATGCAGCTACAATCTGAAATAGTTTTCTTGAAAATGTGAGACAGACTTCTTCTCTGAAGTCTGTCTCACAATGTTCAAATCCATTTGTTTAGCTGCATACAACTTCTCTTTTTAATGTTAACACAAGGTATTATAATCTTTTTAATGAATATAAGTGACAGTGTGTTAGTGGTACTTTTAACCCCTGTGGCGGATCATTTTGGCCTGAGGAAAAACGGGGTTTAAAACGTTCTCACACCAAAACGTATGTAAATGAAACATAATTGATTACAAAATAGCTATGATTACATACTGAGTGAACGAATAATGATGTGTGTGGCGTATGAGTGTCCAGAAAAGTAATTTATAGAACCAATGTAATATATTATTATTATTATTATTATAAAACAACAAATTTCTCAATAGCTTTATCACTTTATGAATGTCACTTTATCTACTTTTTATCCTTCCCCTTTATGTATATAACAAATTTGTTACATTGTTTATTAAATATACACCTTTTGCAATCTGCAGGTTCTCTGTGCAAATTTCTCCTGTGTGAGATCAATAAAGTCCATCTTATCTTCTCTCCAGTACAATAACCAAGAGCTGCAGACTTAATTACACTACTATTTATTGCTGTCACAACCACAACATTACAAAAATATGCCTTGGTTATAGTTGAGCAACAGCAGTCTCCATGCTCTGAAAGATGCTCATCAAAGCCTGTTTCCTGTGTTTGAGGCCGGCGGCGACATGTGAGAGCGGGACGAGAGAGACATGGTCCTCTCTGGGTTCCATGAAGCGGGTTAGCTGCACCATCATCATCTCTGCTCAGCCCTGTCAGCTTCAGCTCCAGCGTGGCTAACACGGACTGAATATTTTACAGTGAATATTTTGCAGAAGGAGCAGAGAGAATCCACGTTGTCAGCAGTGGATCCCTCTGACGGCTCCACTGTACTCAGACCTCAGATTTTCAAAGTCTCGTTTCTCGAATCCTGACACTTACGGTGTCAGGATTCTACCGCGGTGTCAGTGTGTCATCCCGACTTTGGACTGTTCTGTCTTTACGTCGACGAGGAGAGGATTCAGAGAGACGTCGCATCTGCCGTCTGACTTATTGTGGTCTATAACAAAACCAGGGAAAAGTGTAGCCCGGGAGCTACAAACGGCCCATTCACATTTCTATGCGGCCCCCGGACACTTGTGCCAGTAAGGCCTGTCCAATGTGGGTGAGCATATTGCCTAGAAACACAGTTCTGTCCAAACAGGCTGTTAAACAGCTGCAGTACATTCAAAATGCAGCAGCTCGAGTCCTGACTAGAACCAGGACGTACGACCATATTAGTCCAGTCCTCAGGTCTCTGCACTGGCTTCCTGTGGCTCAGAGAATAGACTTTAAAACAGCTCTGCTTGTGTACAAATCTCTCCATGGCCTCGCACCAAAATATATTAGTGACATGTTAGTCCCATATGAACCAGCCCGGACTCTGAGGAGCACAGGGACTGGACTCCTGTTAGTGCCCAGAGTCAGAACTAAACATGGGGAGGCTGCTTTTCAGATTCATGCTGCTAAAATCTGGAACAATCTTCCTGAAGATGTGAGACAGGCCTCCTCTCTGACAATGTTTAAAACCAGGTTAAAAACGGTGCTGTTTAGCTGTGCATACAACTGAGGGATTTTATGTTTTATCTTTCCTTTTAATGTTCTGTGATTATTTATGATTTTAATGCTATCTTGTTCAGCACTTTGAGTTGCCTTGTGTATGAATTGTGCTATACAAATAAACTTGCCTTGCCTTGCCTAGAAAGAGTCTGGTGTGTGTGTGAATGGTTGGTGGTGGGAGGGGCCGATGGCACATACTGGTTGCCTCGCAGGGCAGCTGTGGCTACAGTAGTAGTTTATCGCCACTGTGTATGGAGTGCAAGTATAACATGTGAAGCGTCTTTGAGTGTCCCGAAAAGTAGTATATGAAAACGATGGATTATTATCATTATTATAAAGCTTAGGACCAGAGGTGAGGGAGGGGACGAAGACTGAGTAGTAAATCTTAAGCTTTAAGTAAAGACGCTGCCCCCTCTTCACCACAACAGTCTGACCGGGAATTTACACAGTAGGCGTTAACAGCGCGTACGCGTTGACTGCGCGCATATGCACGTAACATTATTTGGGTGTATGTCCACTGGCCGTGCGTGCAGGTCCGCGGCTTCTGATGCTGTCCCTGTGTAGTCTATGGAGAAGTGTAGCGGACAGTACGGGCCAGAGGACTGATGTAGAGCAACACAAATCACATACATGTGTTTGTCTTCATGGTCTCTGTGCGCTGGTTTGGCCAGACGCAAGACTTTATGAAAAAAAAAAATCACTGTAAAACCTGCCAGTCCTCCTGCTAATCTTTAGATACAAGTGCTGTGTGTGTTGATGCAATCTAGAACCAAGGGCCACTAGAAAAATCATGTTTCACATGTGTTTTCAATGGGAGACACATTGCTGCGCGCACAAAATAAATCCATCCTAAATTAGGCGCAGCCTCGCATCAATACGTCCGTCATACGCGCGTATAACACTAGTGTAAATATCCCCATTGGTTAACATGGAAAAATGTTACGCGCGTCTGCTGTGCGTATAACGCGTACGTGCTGTAACGCCTCCTGTGTAAATTAGCAGTCAGCGACCACATCACTGCACACTCTCCATCCTTCCTTTACAGTGAACTAGACTCAGAGATACATGAACCTGACAAAGGACCTCTCCAAAATATATAGAATTACCAACATTTAAAAAAAGCTAAAAAAGGAAATGATGTATGTGTAATAAAGCAATGATTGCCAGTAGAACAGACAATTGTGACTCTTCTCACAATGTAGCCCTGTTTCCACCAACCCTCCTGCTTGGCCCTACTATGCACTTTATGGTACCGTATTCCTACTAACCTGCCCACAACAAACCAGTATCTGGGGATATCTGGCTGGTGGAAATGAGACTTATAACTCGTGTCTTACTACTGCATTCACCAATCCTGGAGTCAACAAAAGAGATACGTAGAGACTGGACTGGTGCATATAGATGTTGACATAAAAGCTGATTGTCAAACCGCTGACACAGGACTTTTGCAAAACTAAAGCATGCATGACATTGTGCAAAAAGCAGCGTTTTATTTCTGAAGAAAAAGCCATGAGTGAGCACAGAGAGTCTAAACGTGATCTGGAGCATTACGCAACCTTGAAGCTGGCACCGCGACAGCTTTCGACAGCGGCGACACAGACGAGAGAGTGGATCATATCACTGCTCCGGCCGCAGGACTCAGAGGCCACACAGATACTACTACAACTGCTACCATCACTACATCACTACTGCAGTGAAACCAGAAGTACTACGGCTGCCACCTTCAGCTCGTCCCTGTGTATTACAGCGATACACAACTGTTTCTCCTCCAGTTTCAACAGAATTCAAACATGGACAAAGAAAAAAAACTTGATTGTTTTTCTCATACATGATAAGTCCTATAATGGGCTGCCATTGTGAGACTCATTCGTTCATTAACATCCCCCTTATTAATCCATTTATGGTTAGGGGGTGGCAATAAGAGCTGTCTCCCAATACTCATAAATTCCACTGAAAACACAATTAGCCCGTTCCACCAGATTTGGTCCAACTCTATTCTCTTCCTCTGGTTCAGTGTAACCAGTACCAGGTCCTTCTCTTAGCCCTGGTTCTATCCAGGCTGAGCTGGTAGTTGGTTGCCAAGAGATACAGTACCATATACTAACGGTGGTAATTGAAATGCAACGAGGTAGAGTGGTGATAATTCGGGATATTTATGGACATTTATGGACACTTCTGTGGTCATCTCGCTCACTAAGGATCAATGGCTCTGTGTTTGTTATTATTGAATTTCCTGTGTTTGAACTGATTCTCTGATCTGTTGATGGTGAATCAACAATTTTGTTCCTAGAGACGAGTGCTGTTGTGATTTAGCAAAATCCACAAATAAAGTAGATAGAGTAGGGCCAAGTAGGACTGGTGGAAACTGAGCTCCCATCTCCAGAAAACCTGACTTCACTCCTTTCATCTCAGTTTGATCCTATGAGACTCCCGTAGCCACCGGAGGAAATCCGAAACAGAATGGACCAACTTTTTATCAGTAAAACCAAGACTCTATTTCTCATATTTTATTTCATATTTTAGTTGCTCCTGTGACGACAGATCTGCAGTAAACAGGATAGTGTGTGTGTGTGTGCGCGAGTGTGCATGCGTATGCATCTGTGTGTGTGTGTTTGTGTTTGTGGTGATCGTCCAGAGACTCATGATCAAACCACAACAAACCAGCGCTAGTTTGAAAAGAACGTGCTCACCTTGGAGTTTCCTTTTATCGGCCATGACTGACGACTAGGATGATGTCTTCATGCCTCTGTTTTCACTGAAACAACAAAAACAGAGAAGTGTGAATGTTCAGTACTTTATCCATAAGAATCACATGTTCTTCTCCTTTTAAACACAATACTAATGGTGAGGAAGGCGCGCTTCCTTTGCATCGGTCTGTGTCTGATTCTATTGTTAAATGACTTATCATCAGTCATCACGCGATTGACACCAACAGCTGTACTCAAACCTGAAGCAGAGGGAGAGATCAGGGAGAGACCAGGGAGAGGGCCCAAAGTGACTAGAAAGAGTCACTTTGGGCCTGGTCCTTCTGTTCTCTCTCTGGACCAGAAACCACAGAGACCACAGGAGCAGGCACACAGGTCACACAACTGGGTTCATTTACTTTTAGATCAGGGGAGGTTTGAGCTGAGGGCCACTTTAGCTCACCAGACTGGTCCAGGGGCCGACAACAAATTTAAAATGTTTGATTTCTCATTTCAACAATAAGAAAAAGCTTAAACAATTAATAATGTAAGCAATTGTTTTAACAGTCAACAATAAGCACCACTGTCATATTCCACTCATACAAATGCTATGTTGTAGAGTTGATTGTTTTTGTGATCCGGTGCTAGCAAAGGTGTGTTTTCATATGTTTGATCAAGTTGCAGGTGTTAATACGCGTTTGTTTCGGAGCTACCTTTTGCGTTACACAACGTACAGTCTGCTTTACTTTTGACCAGATACCAGTATCGGTGCATCCTTGACACAATTGACGATCTAAAATGTGCCCTTTCAAATTTATAGTAACATGTTTCAAATCAACAGACAATTTCAGACTGTGTGGAAGCTGGTTCCACTGTTTAATGGTGTGCGAAATGAGAAGGCCGATTGTGCAAAAGCCGACCATCTTTTTGGGTTCACATATTCTGCAGTTCTATCACTGCGGGATATTAATATTAAATTATAAGTGCACTCTGGGGTCAGGGATGTGGTCGCGGATTAGGACTTTGACATATTGTATCAAATACTGAAGGGAGAAATGGTGAAATCTTAAAGGCAGGTATAAATGCATATTTATAATGGATAAACATTATGAATTATGCCAATTTTCTTCATTGTAAAATAAAAAATATGCAAACATTATTGTTCAGGAACTTTGTGAGAAGGAAATCTCGTCTATACCTAAAGCACATTTCAAAGTTATAAATTAATCCACCACTCCACACACAGTGGTGAGCTGCTACTGTAGCCACAGGTGACCTGGGGCAGAGAAGGTGACGCTGCCGCACCCTCTGATCACCAACAACCATTCTCTCACATCAGATTCAAACTAGAGTATGTGGGTGAAGAGTTTTGCTTAAGGACACAACCATAGTGAGGACTCCACAGTCTCAGCTGCCCCACTGTGGCCACTGGTATAACAGCGGTCTCCCATCACAGGACTAACCAGACCACACCAGGTAGAGCCATGACTGTGCATAGAGCCACAGAGATGATCTAAGATGTCACTAGCTGATTTAGTTGCACTATTGAATGGGGGGAAGAAATAGAGAGCGCGAGTAGTGTGTGTCTGTGTGTGTGTGTGTAAGAGTGTGTGTCCAGTATATTTCTAAAGCAAAGGTTTCTCATTGATTAATATTTCTTTGCTTCAGCTGTCATTAAACATGTCTGCGGCAGAGTTACATGGCCGAGTATCTTATCCATCAACACTCCAGCTATTGATCTGTTTTACAAGCCTTTCCTCTCATTTCAAATCCACACTGATACAAACATTTTAAACATTTGGATATTTTGCATTGTCCCTGCAGGTGTAATGATTGTATATTCAACACAAAAGTACAATTACATGGAAATTAAATGATGAAATCAATTAGAGGGGAGCAATCCTAATGCTTGTATATTCCATTTAGATAAGACAATTCAATTTACTCTATATGCATTTACTTGTGTATAACCATAAATCTTGCATATAAACCTCTTATACTCTTATCTTGACATCTTACAGTTACAGAAAATACCAGTTGTAGTCAACATTTCAAATTACAGTTATGTATGAAATTAACAAGGAGATTTGTTCATAACGTATCCACCATCACTGTGTGAAGAGAGGTTCACCAGGTCTTTCCTTCCTGCACCTGTCAGTTTGTACAACGAACAATGAGGACTAAAGAACCTACCGACTTGACCCCACATGTTGTGCATCTGTAATGTGCAATAGTGTCTGAATGTGCAATATGGAACCACATGTATTCGATGTCACTCCAAGCCACTGTTGGTTCACACATCCTGCTGCTAACATATACAGTACATAAAGCTAATGACTTATTACTTCAATATTTGTGCGCTGGGCTATCACAGTTCTTCACATTTATTTTTTAGCATGAGAGTATCCAGGATGTTACCTTATATTTTTTATACTTTGCTTCTTTATTAAGCTAAAGATTGATATGTTATTTTAATTTGGTATAGAGTGCAATTATTAATAATATTCACTTATCTCGCATCCTGTTATTCAAAGATATGATGACCAATGTCCATAGTCATCTGCCCCTTATAGACAAATGGCTCTATGTGTTTTTTAAATCGTTGTTTTTGTCATTCTCTGACCTTTGGTGGCGAAACGACAGCTCTGTGAAGCCCCCCGACATAACTACTGTTGTGATTTAGGGCTATACAAAAATACATCGAATTGAATTGAACAATAGGTGTAAGAAATAACCAGAGCATCTCCCTGCACTACAGCAGTTAAGTAGACTTAGTTTGGCCCTTTCTGTGGATCCAGGTCAGACCCAGTGCCTCAGAGTCCGGGATGTTTATAAACAATACACAGTCTTTACGGTAGCAGCATCAGCCCGCGGGAGGCACTAACACTGAGGACAGACCCGTGTGCTTTCTGCTGTCTCTAAGCGGGAGTTAGAGGCTACAGCTCGGAGCAGAGAGCAGTGAGAGAGCGGGTGAAGTTTGTGGTGGAAGCTGCAGATCCCACCGGCTGCGCTGCTGAGATGTGGAACAGAGAGACAGAGAGAGCTGTGCATCACTACAAGACATTTATCCTCACAAATAGTTTACCTGAATTTTCCCGCTCAGTTTCTGTACTCGTCTGGCTGCAGTGAATCTTCAGGGAGTGAATATAAAAGCTTATATTTAATAAAATGTCAATTCTTCTCGCTAAACAATCAGTCCGCACATCCAAGATGGCCGCCAGGAACACCTCCTCCTCCGCTGCCTCGCTGGACAGAAGCCCCGCCTACTAAACGCGCTCATTGGTTAGTGGAGGACGCTTCCGCTTTGCTATTGGTCACCACAGCGCGTCGGTCAAAACTTGCGAGGTTTACGACTTCCCGCTAAACTTATGATCCTGATTGGTCTAGAGTGAGTGTGAAACGTGACGCGCAACGACAGCTGGGAAATGTAGTTTACCGCGAATCTATATGTTGTGATTTCCTCTCAGACTGACTCTCAACACTCGAGCTTTGAAATTAATTCAGAATTTACTAATAATCTGCCGAAGCAATAGACGTGTATGTCTCAATGTCTGAATTGCTTCTGTCGTAAAAATATGTTTTATTTCATTTATAGTATATTTATTTGTGTGTGTTTTGCCTGACATGCCTTAATTGTATCATATCCCCATGTTTGTGCACACATTTTTTCATGTTTGAATTGGTTAGAGGTGGTGAGCGCTTGTGCTTCACTGATGAACTTGTCCTGAGTCAAATTCCACCTCCAGACTGGGCCTTTCTGTGTGGAGTTTGCATGTTCTCCCCATGTGTAGGTTTCCTCCAGGTGCTCAGGTTTCCCTTATACCACTACGTATGTGCAATATAGAGTCCTGGAGCCAGGACTCTCCTGAAGAGATTCTGAAATCTCAGGTGGACTTTCCTGGTTAAGTAGTCAAGGAAAGTTTGGAAATAATCTTATTGAAACTTCTAAATAAATTCATTTTGTATTCATCTGGGGCAATAGTGGCTCAGTTGGTAGAGCAGTAGCCTTTGGGCCTGAAAATCGAGGGTTTGAGCCCACCACAAGACCTACTTCATGACTCCCACTGATGTCTGCTATGTTTGTGTCCTTGGGCAAGACACTTAACTCCATGTTGCCTGAAGCCCCCGCTGAAAGATAAAGGCTCTTGAGGACTCACCACCTGTAGGGGGATCAGTACTGGGTGTGTACTGGGTGCAGCTCTGACTGCCACCCCCCCGACCCAGAAATTGGATCAAGGGGAAGAAAATGGTTGGATTATCTACCTTTGGTTGTTAGCAAAATAAGTAAAAAACTGTGCAGATTTGAAATGAAATAAGTAACTTTCAGACATGGAAAAAGGGATTAAGAGTCTTAATCCAGATATTTTTTTAAGGACTGCGAATGCTCCTGTCAGGAATGAAGCAGACAGAGACGGATCGTGCTGCGCCAAACTCTGGAAGTTTATTTAAGTTTCTCTCAAGTTCCAGTGGTTTCCATTGTTTCTTTCTCTCAGACAGAATAAAGTCAGAACACAGTTTATATAGTCATTGTCACGTCACACATCGAAAGACGTACGTGTCACACAGAGACAGTCACATCATAGTCAAAATAATCAGAGTCCTTGTACAGTCCTGCACGTAGGCCATATTGCTATCTAATACTAACACTCCTTTTGGGGAAGTTTGCGCTCTTCGAGTGTTTTCGAAGTCTTCTTATTATTTCACAGTCGTACACATGAACCAGGAGCAGTCCCAGCATCAAGATTTAGTGTCCCGTATTAAGTGAAGTCATGTCTGCAACGAGCCAAGATCACTCATTGTCAGAATTCAATATATTTGATTTTAGATCATCACCATGACATGGATCTTAATGTATCATCAATTAGGGATTCTCCACGTTTCATTATGTGTTTGTGTCTTGATAAAGTTTCCTAATGTCAAAACAATTTAGCAGTGAATTAAAAGCCTTTGTAAAAACTAGATTTGTCCTAACATTCCCATTCTCTATCACAGACGCTATAAGTTGTATCTCCACTGGGAGGTGCTGTTGTTCCTTCAATCATGTGAATGAGAGGTTGACGTATCTGCTATACACTTTTTCTCAGTCGCTTTGGTGCTTTTCTCACGTCGTTCTTCATAATTGCACAATAGTTAGTGCATTTCTCAATTAGTGCAAACTGCAAAACCTCCTGAATAACCTGCAAAAGTGCGTCACTTTCTCAAAATAAAAAGTGAATTCCTCAAAAGCAAGTCTTCATGTCAATGAAACCGTCTGTGTCATCAAAATAATATGTCACAGGACAGACTTTATGAACAACACAGTCAAATGACTTGTTTTCATTGTGACACTTTACTCTCAGTGTTTCCAAAACAAAAAAGCACTAAACACGACCTGTACAGCCAACAACTACAGTAAAGTTACACATGACTGTATTTAGTGAAGTAACTGAGTACAAGACACATATGTATGTATGTATGTATGTATGCATGTGTGTATCTATGTATGTATATGCTGTATGTATGTATGCATGTGTGTATCTATGTATGTATATGCTGTATGTATGTATGTATGTATGCATGTGTGTATCTATGTATATATATGCTGTATGTATGTATGCATGTATATGCTGTATGTATGTATGCATGTGTGTATCTATGTATGTATATGCTGTATGTATGTATGCATGTGTGTATGTATGTATGTATGCATGTGTGTATCTATGTATGTATATGCTGTATGTATGTATGCATGTATGCATCTATGTATGTATATGCTGTATGTATGTATGCATGTATATATGTATGTATGTATGTATGTATGCATGTGTGTATCTATGCATGTATATGCTGTATGTATGTATGCATGTGTGTATCTATGTATGTATATGCTGTATGTATGTATGCATGTATATATGTATGTATGTATGTATGTATGCATGTGTGTATCTATGTATATATATGCTGTATGTATGTATGCATGTATATGCTGTATGTATGTATGCATGTGTGTATCTATGTATGTATATGCTGTATGTATGTATGCATGTATGCATCTATGTATGTATATGCTGTATGTATGTCTGTATACTATATGTCTTTCACATATTTGCTGCATATGCTCTTTGCAATTCTACATCATTGTGCAACACAAATACAGTCATTTACAGTATTTACGTAGAACATACAAGAAATAGCATTATGGTAGAAATGTGACAAATGTAAACAATAAAACACACCTCCTCATGAGTGAAGTTGAAATTCACCTGAGCGTAACTGTTCAATTTAGAAAAAATAAGATAAAGATAGGTATTAAATTAGCAGGACAGATTTTGATATTAAGAACTAGTTCAACAATTTTGTATGTGATGACTCAAGCAATGAAATGAGGACTATTGGTTTTATAAGGAATGACTTTTCAGAAGTCATAAGTATGTTTAATTTTGACTGACAGAACAGAAGCAAATGAAACAACAGAATTGTTTGAAAGTAACTGATGTCCAAAAACATTTGTAATCTGTTCAAAGGAGAAACTGCTGCGATGATGTGCACCGATGACTCAATGTTGTGGAGGTTAAACTAATAGTTTGTAGAACTTTAAGTCTGATGTGAGAAATGCACCAAAGCGAAAAGCAAAGCAAAAACTGTAATATGGTGAATTATTTATCTTTGCATTCCATATCTGAATTCAATTCAACTTTAAAACAGGCCTACATTTCAAATACAGACTAGACAAAACTAAACCAATGCAGCCCAAACAAACCAGATTCTTTCACGACAACTAGACTTTTAGGGGAAGTTTGTGCGTCTCCGCTCAGACAGCTGCCCTTGCGACCTGGCAATGGATAAAGCGAAAGAAACTGGATGGATGGAGTTTCTTTCATTGCAGATTTTAATTTTCAATGCAAATTAAACCTCTGTACATGATACTAACACATTGAATTTACAGAAGAAACCAGAGCACAAACATAAATAAAGAAAACCCCAAAATATATATCTCTCTTTTTATAAATAAAGGACAGAACATTTAGAACATCTTTGTCAATACAATGTTAAATAATATTTTATAACAGTCACTGGCACAGCAGCACTTAGTATAAACAACACACAGGAGGTTTGAATCTAGTCCCTGGTCTCTAGTCCCTAGTCCCTAGTCCCTGGTCCCTGGTCCCTAGTCCCTGGTCTCTAGTCCCTAGTCCCTAGTCCCTGGTCCCTGGTCCCTGGTCCCTGGTCCCTGGTCCCTGGTCCCTGGTCCCTGGTCCCTGGTCCCTGGTCTCTGGTCTCTGGTCTCTGGTCTCTGGTCAGTTCCTAAACCTGTAGGAGATGGGCAGCAGCTTGTGAGTCTTCTTCATGGTCTGGACTTTGGCGTGAGTCTCTTCGTCCATGGTTTTATAACAGCGACGAGCATAATCCAGAAGCTTCTCTTTTGATGCCTCAAACTCCCCCACCTCAGCAACCTGCTCCAGACACAAACATGCAGCAGTAACAGCAAGTTTATTTATATAGCACAGTTCATACATAAGGCTGGTCTCTAGTCCCCGGTCTCTAGTCCCCGGTCTCTAGTCCCCGGTCTCTAGTCCCCGGTCTCTAGTCCCCGGTCTCTAGTCCCCGGTCTCTAGTCCCCGGTCTCTAGTCCCCGGTCTCTAGTCCCCGGTCTCTAGTCCCCGGTCTCTAGTCCCCGGTCTCTAGTGTGTGGTGCTGTGTGGACAGTAGGTGGCACTGTGTGGACAGTAGGTTGTTATGTGTGGACAGTAGGTGGCGCTGTGTGAACAGTAGGTGGCGCTGTGTGGACAGTAGGTGGTTATGTGTGGACAGTAGGTGGCGCTGTGTGGACAGTAGGTGGCGCTGTGTGAACAGTAGGTGGCGCTGTGTGGACAGTAGGTGGCGCTGTGTGGACAGTAGGTGGTTATGTGTGGACAGTAGGTGGCGCTGTGTGGACAGTAGGTGGCGCTGTGTGGACAGTAGGTGGTGATGTGTGGACAGTAGGTGGCGCTGTGTGGACAGTAGGTGGTGATGTGTGGACAGTAGGTGGTTATGTGTGGACAGTAGGTGGTGCTGTGTGGACAGTAGGTGGCGCTGTGTGGACAGTAGGTGGTTATGTGTGGACAGTAGGTGGTGCTGTGTGGACAGTAGGTGGCGCTGTGTGGACAGTAGGTGGTTATGTGTGGACAGTAGGTGGTGCTGTGTGGACAGTAGGTGGCGCTGTGTGAACAGTAGGGTGGCGCTGTGTGGACAGTAGGTGGTTATGTGTGGACAGTAGGTGGTTATGTGTGGACAGTAGGTGGTTATGTGTGGACAGTAGGTGGTTATGTGTGTGGACAGTAGGTGGCGCTGTGTGGATAGTAGGTGGTGCTGTGTGGACAGTAGGTGGCACTGTGTGGACAGTAGGTGGCGCTGTGTGGACAGTAGGTGGTTATGTGTGGACAGTAGGTGGCGCTGTGTGGACAGTAGGTGGTGCTGTGTGGACAGTAGGTGGCACTGTGTGGACAGTAGGTGGCGCTGTGTGGACAGTAGGTGGTGCTGTGTGGACAGTAGGTGGCACTGTGTGGACAGTAGGTGGCGCTGTGTGGACAGTAGGTGGTTATGTGTGGACAGTAGGTGGTGCTGTGTGGACAGTAGGTGGTTATGTGTGGACAGTAGGTGGCGCTCTCACCTTGTCGGGTGCCACCAGCAGCAGCTCGGCGATGGGGGAAGTGGAGGCCATGGTGTTGCGGTCGACGCCGTGGATCTGGAAGGCTCTGGACATGCTCCTGACTCGCTGGTACGTGGTCAGGATCTTCTTGTACCGGATCAACACACCGTCTGGATCCTTCACTGAGGAGAGAAGAGAGAGAACCTTTATCCGTCCCACAGAGTCAAAACTCTCTCCCCCTCTCCCTCTCTCTCCCCCTCTCCTCCCAGGTCTCTCCCCTCTCTGCCTCTCCCTTTCTCCCCCCCTGGTCTCTCACCTATCTCTCCCCCTCTCCCCCTCTCCCCCCTGTTCTCTCACCTCTCTCTCCCTCCCTCTCTCACTTCTCTCCCCCCTGGTCTCTCAACTCTTTTCCCCCAGGTCTCTCACCTCCCTCTCTCTCTCTCTCTCCCCCCAGGTCTCTCACCTCCCTCTCTCCCCCTGGTCTCTCACCTCTCTCCCCCCAGGTCTCTCACCTCTCTTCCTCTCTCCCCCCAGGTCTCTCACCTCTCTCCCTCCAGGTCTCTCACCTCTCTCCCCCCTGGTCTCTCACCTCTCTCCCTCCAGGTCTCTCACCTCTCTGCCTCTCTCCCCCCTGGTCTCTCACCTCTCTCCCCCCCAGGTCTCTCACCTCTCTGCCTCTCGCGGCTGTGTGTGATCCTAAAGATGCGTCTCATCTTCATGCCTCCTCCTCGGCTCTTCTTGGAGCCTTTCTCCACAGACGAGTCCTCCTCCTCCTCCTCTTCCTCTGCCTCCTCCATGAACTCCTCCTCAGTGAAGAACTTCTCCTCCTCCACATGGTACTCTTGCTTCACCGCTGCACACGCACATGCACACGCACACACACAGACACACACAAACCACGAGACATCACATTAAAAAAGTTATAGTTCAAACAATGGAATGTAATGAATTGCAACCAACAAAGAAAAAGACAGAAGCAGTTTATACTGCTCGATCATATTCTACTCCATGTGAGGCGGCGCTTTGACGAAGAATAAAAACGGTGAAGCAGAAGTGTCCAGTCGGATGAAAAAATTATAATGAAACAATGACAGAAAAGAATACTTTTGCAACCGTTACGGTAAAACACGGTATGGCCTCAGAACCACTCCTAGACAGCGCCCCCTGCTGGCTCCACCACGAGTTTTAACCATGTTTTAATCCTTACATGTATTGTAGTCTATATTTAACAGACATACAGTAACAAACAAACAAACATACGAAAAAGTCACTTTTCATATACTTTCGGAAGTGTAATTATTTAGTTACCTTTGTGGTCAACAAAATACTTTTCTGTCTCTTATGTAGTTTTTTTTCTGGGTCATTATTTTTATGAAACCATCTTTTGTTTTTGAAATGGCTACATTTTTGTTTTCACATGGCAGTTGAAAGCCTTTCGTCAAGGTGTTGTCCAAATTCTGGTCCTGGACTGGGTCTGGTCCATCGACTGTATATATTAACGGACAGAGTCATGCATATCTCCGCCGTTCTAACTAATGGGCCAGAAAATGTGCTCTACTGGAGCAATCCAAAATGGCCGCGAGTGGTCCCGCCCACAAGAAAGTTGGGAAAAAACGCATCTGCGCATGCGTCAGCCGGCGCCGCTCCATTCATTTGAATGAGTGACTTCAAAAATTCACAGCGAGTAAACTAGAGTGGTCCAAAAAAATTCACCCCCCTCAGCATTGACACACATGTGGAACGGAGCTTTGGGCCAAGAGCCAACTTTTGGTCCATCCTGTAAAGACGTTTTTGAGAGGTCTGCCAATGATATATGTTAGCATTGGCTAATTCTACTTCTGGGTCCACCCCCATCGGCCCGGAGTGGTATAGCAAGCATGTCAGCGCACGTCATTTTGGCCACTTTTGAGCCGGGACCCGCCCCCACTGGTCTGGTCCAGCTTGGTTCTCCAGCAGAGAAGAAGAAGTGCTGATTACTTACTTAAATACAGGAATTAATAGCTTATTTTTTGTTTTTTTAAGTTTAGCAAATGTATAGAGTGTACATTTTTAGCAGCTTTATTCTCATTTACTTATTAGTACCAGGTGAGCAGAGGGCATGACAATGAGAGAAGTTTTTGATAATATACAATTTTTGTCTCGTGAGACTGGGGCATATGTGATGTCACGTACCGGGTATGGCGGGGGCGCGGTGGCGGACCCTGGCCCCTCCCCCCTGCAGCCTCTTCAGGGTCATCCCCGAGCGGGTGGTCATGGGGGAGGGAGGGGAGGGAGCGCTGTCGGGCTGCACTTTCACACTGCGCTGGGCCTCACTGCACCAGTCTGACACCAGAAACACCACGAAGAGAGAAACACAAGCACTGGTGTTCAGTGTTAAGTTCATTACTACAACACATTATAAACTAAATCTGAGTTACCTAACTTTAACCCCAACGAAATGGAACAAGAGGGACCAGAGAGAGAGTGACCAAAGGATGGAGACCAGAGGGACCAGAGAGACCTCAGAGAAACTAGTGAGAAGGAAAATTCCATGGTTTTCATGTTTTTTGTTTTTTTTTATCTCTGTGATTCTGGTGTTTAAATCGATCTGATCTGTGATTCTCTGATCAGTGTAGCCGAATCGACATCTTTGTGACGTCCTCAATATACGGTTGTGATGAGGGGCTGATTTGAATTGAATGTAAGTGAGAGTCAAGCTTTTCAGATGCCAATTCAGACGACTTTACAGTACTTTAGTCATCACCAGAGACGACAGTAGCCATGTGTTGTACCGTTGGAGTCCGGAGTCCTCATGCTGACGATGAAGCGGTCGAGCTGACAGCGCAGGAAGTTCCTCTCCTCCTCCATCTCCTCGATCCTCTTCTGCAGCCACGCGTTCTTCTCCAGAGCCACGTACAGGTGAGCGCGCAGGTTAGACACCAGCACGAAGGGGCTGTAGTGGGCTGGGGAGGGCTCGTGGATCACCCCCTCTGGAAGATCAGGAGAGGAGAGGAGGGGAGGGGAGGGGAGAGGAGAGAGAAGGAGAGAGGAGAGAGAAGAAGAGAGAGGAGAGAGAAGAAAGAGAAGAGAGAGAAGAAAAAGAAGAGAGAGAGAGGAGAGAGAGGAGAGGTCGACACAGTTTTTCTGGTTAATATCATCTTGACAGTTAATCCCCATGGTAAAAGGTGCAAAAACACTGCTACTACTACTACTACTACTACTACTAATTAACAATCTATATCAAAGCATATTGTAGTAGATTAGTTGTAGTATCAGGAGTAGTATCAGAAGTTGTAGTAGCTGTAGAGTGTCCGGTACCATCCACTTATGGGCCGTGGTTGGGGTGATAGCAGTACGAGTGGTAAATACTTTGAAATTGGGTTTGCACAGTTCTGCAGCATCATTTGACATAAAATGTAAAAATATAAGTACACATACGGGACATTTCACAAAGACACATTTCTATTTAGGATTAAAGCTCCTCCTTTAGATTCAGGATGGACAAAGGACTTCTTCAATCTGACCTTATTAAAGCGAGGCACACAGTTACACTGCCGTGATGGTAACAGCACAGTAGTAGTAGAAGTAGTAGTAGTGGTAGTAGTAGTGAAAGCAGTAGCAGCAGTAGCAGTAGCAGTAGTAATACATTCCATCCTGAAACCGTGGTTGGGTGATAGTTGTAGTAGCAGTAGTAGTAGCAATAGTAGCAGTAGTAGCAATAGTAGCAGTAGCAGTAGTAGAAGTAGTAGCAGTAGTAATATTAGTAGCAGTAGTAGTAGCAGTGGTAGCGGTAGTAGCCGTAGCAGTAGTAGTAGCAGTAGCGATAGTAGCAGTAGCAGTACCTTCCATCCTGGGGTGATAGGCCTGTGGTCGCTCCACACTTTCATCCAGAGGGAAAGACACTTCATACGCGTCCATGTACAGGGCTCCCCCTCCTGAGACGCCTCCTCCTCCTCCTCCTCCTCCTCCTCCTCCTCCTCCTCTGGCTGAGGCCTCGTCTGAAGAACCAGGAACCACATAAGGACCTGAGCACAGCACAATAACTACACCAGGACCCGAGAAGGACCTGAGCACAGCATGTATCCTGTCCCTCATTTGCAAAGACTTTAGAAACATTTCCACAGTTATTGAGTGGTTCCTCTGATGCAGGAGAGTTCAAACTGGGGGCCGAAAACAAGGATTGCAAAACTATTTTGACAAGGTGGTTAATTGGTCTATGTTAAAATGATAACTGAGGTACAATGTGTGCATTTATAAATATATATCATCTGTGAGAGCTGGGGTTAGTTGAATAGCTTTCTCAATAGGTACTTAAGAGCCATGGACATGTTTTTGTGTCTATGGCTTTGATAAAAGATTATGGCAGATTTGACCTGAGAATGTGCTGGAAATGGCAGCAAGTCCTAAGCAGCTCTGAAACAGCACTTGTTTTGTGTTTTACAATTGTTATTCAAGTAATTCAATTGTTATTCCTCATTGAATGATACAGGGGGCCACAAATGTTAGTCTGGACATGCCTGGTCAAGCCTGGTCAAAGGACACTTTTGTATATTTCTGGACATCCCGCTCCCTATGGACAAATGGTCCCTGCGTGTTTGTTATTATCGTTTTTCCTGTGTTTGAATTGTTTGATTCGCTGAACTGTTGTTGAAGATGCCACAATTTTAGAAACTCCTCATCAATGACTGCTGCTGTGATTTAGTGCAATGCACAAATAAATTGAAGTGAACTTGTTAACAACCTCTAGGCGAGAAAATCAAGCTACGAGAATCCTAGATGAGAAAACCATTGACCTTTAAATTGAACAGTCTTTTCATCTATCATGTTCTTGCTATCTAAATGTAATGTAATGTAATAATGACATTACTAATTTCACTAAAACATGTGCTTTATGATAATAAAGGGTTTAGAGATACAGTTGTTTCTCAGCACAGCAGCAGGCTCCAATAATAAAGACACTGCTCTTGTTGTGATGAAAGTTTCTCTCACCATAGAAAAACAGCTTCCATTTTGTCTGATATTTGGATTATCCCTAACCCTAGCCTGAGTTAATGACAGTGATTTTTATTGTGATGATCTGGGACAGTTTTATACAGATTGATACACTGCTCTATGAAGCATTACAGATACTTGTGTTGGATTATGATGTGTGCTCTTTGTGGGCTCTTACTACTGTGCAATATGTGTGCTGCAACACTGACATTTCCCCACTGTGGGGCCAATAAAAGATCTATTTCTTGTTTTAGATTTACTGAAGTTCTAAGTAAGTAAGTTTAGAATAAAGTCTATTCTCTGTGGCTCAGAGAACAGACTTTAAAGCAGCTCTGCTTGTTTCAAGTCTCTCCATGGCCTCACACCAAAGTACATTTGTGACATGTTAGTCCCATATGGACCGACTCTGGACTCCTGCTGGTCCCAGAGTCAGGACTAAACATGGGGAGGCCCCGTTTCACATTTATGTAGCTAAACTAATGAGACAGACTTCTTCTCTAATAATGAGAATTCCAGGTTTAAAACAGTTCTGTTTAGCTGCTGACAACCAAAGGATTGTATCTTTTACTCTTTTCAACGTTCTGTGATTCTTTAAGCCTTGTATCATTGTTTCTATCTTTCCTTGTGTATGAACTGTGCTATACACATATTCTTGCCTGGCTACAAAAAAGTACTTGACCAGAACGCATTCGTAATTACCAGTTCACAAATGTAAAGGGTCTTCAGCAGAGCACACGGAGGCAGGATCAGTGTTAGATCCAAGTATCAGTGTGAGTTGAGACTTTTGAGGCGCTGGTGCTTTACCTGCAGGAGCGGAGTCCTCTCTGGAGCCGCGGTCCTCCATGTGTACAATAATACTACAGTGAGTCAGTAGTAATAGCCTCAGGAGTTTGGAGAGTACTTATACTTCTGTAATACAGGCTGAAGCACGCTGCCGCTCTGCTGTTCACGCAATTACCTGATTATAAGTGGCGCACAGGTGTTCGCTCACACATGCGCACTGGGGGCGGCCGTGCGTCAGACCGAGGCTCCAGTCTGCGCAGCTGTGTCTCTGTGGTTCATGTTTTCGAGAACAACCCGAGGCTCGTGTTGATGTCTGCAGATAATTCATACATCTGTGGCTCTCTCTGGTTTAAAGCACAGGAGCAGGCCGCGGGCGGAAATGCGTCTCCCTACCGCCACCTGCTGGAAAACAATGAATTCGCTTCACAATAATTAACTATTCAATGGATGTGTCTACAGTCCTGAATCACAACAGCAGTCGTCCCGGGGGACTTTACAAAGTTGTGGATTCACCAACAATAGATCAGAAAATCAAACAGTTTGAAATTCAATAATAACAAACCTTCATGTGTTTGTTGATCCAAAGGAAGCGGGATGCACTGTCTATAAACGTTAATAAACGTTAATACATGTTCATAAATGTTCATAAATGCTAAAAAATCACCACTGTTCTTGGATCGTCCTGCATCAGAGAGGAACAACTGAAAAAACCCAGTGGGGAAAAAGTGGGAGGTCCATGTTGAGAGAGGGATCTTACCAAGGACTGAGGCTATAGATCCAGGACTGATGCTGTAGACCCAGGACTGACACTGTAGACCCAGGACTGATACTGTAGACCCAGGACTGATACTGTAGACCCAGGACTGAAGCTGTAGATCCATGACTGAGGCTGTAGATCCAGGACTGATGCTGTAGACCCAGGACTGAAGCTGTAGATCCAGGACTGAGGCTATATAGACCCAGGACTGATGCTATAGACCCAGAACTGAGGCTTGACCCAGGATTGACCTGAAACATTTCTAGTCTATTTAATTGCACATACATAATCCCAGTATGTTTTATTTCATGGTCTATTTAAATCCACCATCCGTGTCTAAAAACATGTATTGAACTTTCTGTATATTATTTTGCGGCTCTCTGTTAAGAAATATAGTTTTTCTTTTTCGCTCTGAGACTCTGGAGGTGCGTCACTGGGGGCGGGCACAGGTAGACGAGGAGGAGGAAGAGGAGGAAGAGTAGGGGGAGGAGACACTCCAGGAAACTTCACAACTATCACTGCTGCGGAGATCTGGGCTGTTCAACTTCTCAGAAAAACCCAGTGGAGTTTTTTTTATTCAAGGGACATATCACCGAGTCGAAAATGTGAGTGTCAGAAAACTGCAGATGTTAGAGATATGTGTGTTTGTTTGTGACAGAGACGAGAACGTGTTTGGAGACGGTTAGAGGTGAGGGTTTGGGGAGTGGTAAGCAGGGACCAGGGAGACCAGGGACCAGGGAGACCAGGGACCAGGGAGACCAGGGACCAGGGAGACCAGGGACCAGGGAGACCAGGGAGCATGCAGACACCAGTAAAAAACAGCCTCATCTCTCACAATTTATTTTCTGCTTCGTTACTAAGTAGAGGTTTTTTTTTAAATACATTGATTTTAACGTTTCATCCTGAACAAACGGGATCATAAATCAGTGGTCTCAAACATGCGGACCGCGAGCCATTAGCGGCCCGCGAAAAGGTACTTTGTGGTCCCCTTGTGGCCACTAAAGCTTGGGGAAGCTTTAGTGGCCGTCTGGTCCCCACTGAGAGTCTGGGCTATGTTATACATCGTTTTAAAGATAATTTTATCCAGAAAAAAACCACAGCATTTATTTGACCATAAACATTTAAACCTGAATGCAATAAGCAACAATTGAAAGTAAACTTGATTTAAACCTAGTCTACAACTCAAAGCCTCACTGTTTTTTCCCCAGTTTTGATTCAATCACAGCAGCTGGACTCATTTTGTATAAACAATGTACTTATTAAAATAAAAATATGAATAATAATATATTATGTCAAACTCATGTTCAATAGAAGTGATCCAATGATGTTGAAAGTATCAGAGTGTTTGAGTGTTTGACTTCCTGCTTCTGTCCTTCAGGGCCTCTCTCTGTGGCGGTCTGTCCCACTGTAAACTGGCCCTGGCCTTCGCCATCACCATGGATTTATTGGGAGGAGCCGCTCTGCTCACGGGGGTCTTTGCTCCGCTGGAGATCAGAGGGAAGGACTTTGGAGACCTGCTGGTTTACACTGGTACAAAATCATTGCTTTCCAACGAGATAACAGCATTAAGATTATTTTTATTATTATGATTATTAAGATTATTTATCATGTCTTTCATAAGGAGGACGTTGATGGACCTTTTTATGAAACTTACCAATTATGTTAAAACTGAGACACTTTAAGTAATTACAGTGCTGAACAAGAAAAGAAACTTTGAAATCATACAAGGCTTTGAATCCACAAATGATATAGTTATTAATGTGAACGACGAACAGAAAGGGGCAGAGTGAGGTTCAGCGGTCCCTAAAACACAGTTCACCTTCGTGCTTTTCTTTCTTACAGTGTGTTTCTCATGTGCTGTTTAGCTCCAACAGAGTCATGAAGAACAGAAATGTATAACTGCTTGTGGTCTCTCTGGTCTCTCTCTTGCTGGTCTCTCTCTCTCTGGCCTCTCTCACTCTGCTCTCTCTCTGGCTTCTCTCTCTCTCCAGTCTCTTTCTCGCGTATCTCTCTGGTCTCTCTCTCTCTGGCCTCTCTCTCTCTCTGGCCTCTCTCTCTCCAGTCTCTTTCTTGCTTGTCTCTCTCTTGTCTCTCTCTCTCTGGTCTCTCTCTTGTCCCTCTCTGGTCTCTCGTTGGTATCTCTCTCTGGTCTCTCTCTGGTCTCTCTCCAGTGAGTTGCCTTCAAAGAGGAGATGGACTGAGTTAGTTTTGATAAGCGTGGAGTTTCTAATAGTGGTGTTTCTTGTGCAGGAGCCCTGTTTGTGGTGATGTCTCTGGGCGGATGGGTCATGTGGTACAGTGGGAACATCAAGGGCCTCAGCTCCAAGAAGGAGCCGGGACACATCGGCAGCACGGTCGACCGCCTCGCCAGGAACCTCAGCCGCAAAATGCGCACCTACAGAAGCCACCACTGAAGCTTCTCTCTCTGGCCTCTCTCTCTCTGGTCTCTGTGGTCTGGTATCCCCAGTATTTTTCTCGCTTGTCTCTCTCTCTTGTCTCTCTCTCTGGTCTCTCCCTTGTCTCTCTCTTGTATCTCTCTCTGGTCTCTTTTTTTGTCTGTTTCTGGTCTCTCTCTGGTCTCGACATTCCAAGTCTCTAGTATTGTGTAGTGGTGTGTGAGACAGTATTACAGGACTGGGGGATGCTCAAAGTGAAATTTGATTTAGGGTAAGCACACTCAGACGTGAGAAGTGGCTTGTCTGGCATTAAGGCAGTAGAATACAGTCCAATCAAGGTGAATACTAGTTTAAACACGTATTAACTATTAGTTTTGCATTTCAATGTCAAACGACGCGACACAGATCCTGTTTGAGCTCTGTACAAATGTAGGTCAAATAGCTGAGGCCAAACAGGGAAACATTGCTTTGAGAGTGAAGAACTATCAATTTCCTTCCATATTTACATTTTTTATGGTTTGAAACTCGGGTACTGCAGCTTTAAAGGCATTCCAAGTGAGAACTGCCTTTTTCGAAGTTATGTAATTGTAGTATTTTAGCTTTACCTGTAGAAACGTCCTCCATTTTAGATTTGGAAGTACATGGGTCTATGTGTAGTTTGTTCCAGTCATTATTTTCATGAGATTCTCTTGACTTCTGAAATGTGAGCGCAGTCTAACAATTTTTGTGGGGATTTCTTAGATCCCTTTTGGTTTGTATTAGAGCAGTCAAAACAACAGCTCTCTGAGTTTTAACTATCCAAAATACTGGAATTTTTGGAAGACGTTATGGACTCTTTTTATTTTTATTTTTTCGATTTTTTTCTTGTTGTTATTTGTTGCATTTAAACCAGTTCAAAATCCATCACTCGGTCAAAAACTGAACTGTACTATGACTGGAACTTGCATAAACTGTAATTAATGAACAATGCATCTACTTTTGGTTCATAGTTTATTTTTTTTCATCAGGAAACTCAAAAACTACCTTTGCAGAGCCACGAGCACCAATCATTTCATTGTTTTTAAACATTGTGTGTTGCTTGTATTTGTTACTTTGTTTGAACTAAAATGTGCCTCAATAACAATAAAGACTTTTCCATTATTTGTTTTTGTTGTTTTCTGACGTGTCTATCTCTACACCCCATGGCAACTTCAATACCACTTGCTAATTTTATTTTCAATTAAATGTATTCTTGGATAGCCCTAAATCACAGCAGTAGTTAATGTATCTTTGAGGACTACACACAAAAGTAATGAAATTGCCACCACAGATCAGAATCAAACAGTTAAAACACCTATTGGTATTGGTCCGTAAGTGGCAAAACCATGAATGTTGAATAAGATATGTTTTTGTGACTCATTTTCTAAGTCCCTGCACCTGCACTTGTTCTTACCACTAACTTTATTATGACACTGGTTCTTCCCCCTCTCCATCTGCCTCTAATGATCAGATGAACTGTGATTGACTCTGTGTCCAAATACGGTCAACAGGAAGTGACATCACAGGAGACGCCTGAGGAAACTCCCATAATCCCGGAGGAAACTCCCATAATCCCGGAGGAAACTCCCATAATCCCGCTCATCTTTGACCTTTATTTCCACTGTTGAAACGCACCTTCAAACCCTCTGGATTAATTATGCAGGATTATAGTCATTTCTCCTCCAGTGTTGACTCCATCCTACATCCTTATCCCTTTGTGTGGGTTTCGTTCTAAATCACAACAATTTTAATCAATGTGTTGTTATTGTTTAATCATTAAGTATATTTAGAGATGGAGGCTGAGAGCAGTGTTAGCAGCAGACAGAGGCTAAACAAGAGCTAATAGGATTACTGTCTCTGTGAGTAACACGCACGCATGCACACACACACACACACACACACACACACTATAGTTCAACACACATGCAACAGTTCAACACATACATGTGTACACACTCGCGCACACACATACACATACTCTCTCACACAGAGACATATACAGGCACACCACAAACTCTCACACTCTCTCTCTCTTTCTCTCTCTCACACTCTATCTCTCACTGTCCCCAATTAAAAGACTGTCTTCTCTCCATACCTTTTTTTTTACAAACCTGGAAGAACCCTGTGAGTCACTGTTTGACTATTTGGCCTGAGAGCTGATTGGCTAAGTGAGGGTTGTTCCCTCTTTTTCATTTTTCTGCCTGAAAAAGCGGATCTAAAGATGTGACAGGGGGAAACTAGAGACAGAAGTAAACTACTGAGAGCTAGGATTGTAAAGTTACATTTGAAAATGAAGTACCCCAGCTTTAATTGGACTGATGTACAGTGTGTGACAATAGCAGATTAAAGTGCCATTTTAAGGCTGGACATCTTGGAGGATGAGCCACGGTCCAGATCATGGTCCTGTGATGTTTGTCTTGTTTTCAAATCCAGGTTCAAGACTTAACCCGTTCCCAGTTCCCCACAGCTCGGCATCGCTGCCTGTTGAGCTGCTAATCCTGCTTTTAATGGATTCTCCTCTGTTTATAGTCCTGAAACAGTTCTAGGTCAGAGGTAGCCTGGCCTTAGCCATCCGTACACTTCGGTCAATCATCATTTCCCTGCATGTATGAAATGTATTTTGTACTATGGTGTGGTACGACCAGGCTCAGATGTGGCACTCTGGAAGTTCTACACATCAGCCAATAGAACCTGTAAGTCCATAATTTGGAGGAGAACAGCAGTGAGCAGAACTCAGGGCAGACCAGAGTTTGAACAATTGCGTCATTAGAGTTCCTCAGACGACAAAACATTACAAAAAAATGCACCGACAGGTCATCCATGTACAAATGAAGGAACATGGGAGAAAGAATCCCCCCCTGACCAACCACATTAGTGACTCTGAATGATTCAGAGAGAGCCTCGCCCATTTCACCTGCATGGTCTGCTCCCAATATTAAAAAAACAAGTAGTCTGAACAGATAACCAGGAACTTTGAGGTTTTTTCCCCTTTTTTAATGCATGCCTTATTGCATCTAGTATTGCTCTTACTAATCCTAACCACTTGTCTACACCTTGAACCAAAGCTAATTCCTAGTTTGTGACTTCCTATTACTTAAAATGGCAATAAAACAAACTCTTCTTCTGTGCTTCGCTAACCGTGCTAAGTGTGGTAACTGTGGAAAGTGTTAAATAGTCTATAAATAATAGACAGCTGTTTGCAGAATGCTGTGTATTTGTGTCTAATTCTCTGGTACTTTTAGCCGAGGTGTTGTTTTCACTGGGTGTTTAGGCCATCGTAGCCTCCAGGATTACTCCAATTATTAGAGAGTGCAATAGTGCCAACTGATTAGCTCTTTCCATGAACAGATTTAGGCTTGGAGTTTATCTGTCTTTGTGTGTGTGTAGTGGGTCTGATTTTCTCCGCTCTGCGTTGTGTTGATTTGTGCATGGCGCGGAGGAACCATAGACTGTATTAACGGATGTAGTAACGTCTATCTCCGCCGTTCTAACTAATGGGCTAAAAATTGGGCTTTCTTGGAGTGATTAAAAATGGCCACGGGGGCTGGAAAATGTGAAAAAACCAGTGGGGGCGAGTCCCGGCTCAAAAGTGGCCAAAATGACGTGCGCTGACATGCTTGCAATACCACCCCGGGCCGATGGGGGTGGACCCAGAAGAAGAATTAGCCAATGCTAACATACAGCGTTGGCAGACCTCTCGAAAACGTCTTTACAGGATGGACCAAAAGTTGGCTCTTGGCCCAAAGCTCCGTTCCACATGTGTGTCAATGCTGAGGAGGGTGAATTTTTTTGGTCCACTCTTGTTTACTCGCTGTGAATTTTTGAAGTCTCTCGTTCAAATGAATGGAGCTCTCGTCGGCTGACATGCCGGCCATTTTACGGCCCATTAGTTAGAACGGCGGAGATAGGCGTGACTCTGTCCATTAAAGGCACACCGTGTAACTCTTGGCCACTAGGGGCGCTAGACCTGCAACTTTCACGTTTAGCGCCCCTAGTGGCCACAAGCAACTCAGCACTGTCGCAAAAGTCAACAAACAGTCAGCCGGTGTCTTTTGAGTGTGTATTCAGACAGCATGCACTGGTGTGTGTGTTCAAACTGTAGAGACATGCCTACAGATATTGAGAGACTCTGCTGTGGTCAGCCTCCAGACCGCTGCATTAGTAATCTACCACACATGGACTTCTATATCCTGGATGAGGGAGTTCTGCGTCTAGCTCGTGCTGCGTGGAATGACATCTTTGCAGTCGATGACATACAGGAACCAGGTGAAGAGCAGCGCTCATACAGACATGCAGCTTACAGCACGATCCCTTTCGCGTTTCCTCTTTTTAGCCTCCTCCGAAGGTTTAAAATTTTTCCTTGCCTCAGCCATGACCAGGAGTCGAGCAGGTGAAAAATGAGTAGCAAAAGCCTTAGCTCCATGAGTATATCAGCGCCTGTAGCCGTAAAGCAAGTCTTTCTTCCAAGTCACGTGACCTGGTGGCAGACGGTCCGTCTGCTCGAAACTTACATGGGCGGTATTTCAAGAGGGCAGCCCCGCTCGGAGCATTGCAAGTGTCAAGCGCTGTATATTGGCCCAAGTATTCATATAAAATAACTCATATGTGTCAACTCTTTAGGTCACAAAGTCCGCGGTGTGCCTTTAATATATACAGTTCATGGAAAAAACGCATCTGCGCATGCGTCAGCCGGCGCAGCTCCATTCATTTAAACGAGTGACTTCAAAAATTCACAGCGACTAAACTAGAGTGGTCCAAAAAAAAGTAACCCCCCTCAGCATTGACACACATGTGGAACGGAGGTTTGGGCCAAGAGCCATCTTTTGGTCCATCCTGTAAATTGTAATTGTAATTGTGCTATACAAATAAACTTGCCTTGCCTTGCCTTGTAAAGACGTTTTCGAGAGGTCTGCCAATGCTATATGTTAGCATTGGCTAATTCTACTTCTGGGTCCACCCCCATCGGCCCGGGGTGGTATTGCAAGCATGTCAGCGCATGTCATTTTGGCCACTTTTGAGCTGGGACCTGCCCCCATCAGGAGGAACACACGGGAAACAAGATTTCGAGGCGTTCTTTTATTTGTCACAAAAAGAAAATACTATGAACATGTGCTTCCGCATCAGTCCTAGCCCAAACTAAAAAGACGTACAAAGCGTAAAAAACTACAAAATCATAATTTAAATAGACATTTTGAGACATAACAACATAAAGTGACTGACCTCTTCCCCGACACAGGATTTCAAAGGGAAGAGGCAGCGGGAAAACCCTGACTTTATAGTGGGGGACAGGGAGCACACGAAGAAGAAATAAAAACACGGGAGTGGCCGGAAGACCAAAGCAGCACAACAAATCAAAGACCAGGACTAAAAAACAATTACAAAATAATAAAACTTGTCATAAAAATACAGTAATAACTGTGTAATTCACATAACACGTAATAAAATAAATTAAAAACACTGTAAAGTTTTGAGAGAGGTCACTAAGATTGACTTTGCTACATGTGTCCAAACATGATAGATACTGTGTTTTTTTAAAGTCAATCCTCGAATGTCTTCACTTGTAATCATTGTGACATATGAAATTAAAAAATAAACACCTTCAGAAGTTTATTTTAACATAGAAAAATTACGGTTCAGACTTTGTTTGTCATTTCATGTTTGAGAGAATCTTCTCTCAAATAACAAGGGTAAATGCTATCAGCCTGCACTACCCCTGTACTGCCACCAGAGGGACAAGGAGAAGACAATAGAGAATTGCACAGGTTACATTTGGCTTCAATAAGATCTCTCAGGGTTTTCAAAGAAACAGGAAATGTACAACATAGAGTATAAATAGGGATACAATATATGGTTTGGAAGAAATTTTAAGATTACCAGCTGCTCAAACATACTGAAACCATCAGGTTTCAAAAGCCATTTCAAACCTGGCTGCTAATAAATCACCTGGCCCAGACTCTATCTCTGCTGAACATCTCAAACATACGAGCGCAAAGCTGTGTATGTTACTTGCACTCTGTTTCACTGTCTTTATGATTCACGGCTATCTTCCAGATTTATTGATGTCTGTGACACTGACTCCTGTGTCCTAGGATAAAGCAGGAAAAGTCAGATCACTATAGACCTATAGCTCTAGCTAATATTTTATCCAAAGTTGTGGAACTACATTTTTGTATGAATGAATTATCTCATAGTCTTAACCAATGTAAAACTGGCTGCATGGTCGGCAGCACAGTGCTGAACCATCTAATGTACGCAGATGATTGTGTCATTTTTAGTCCAAGCTCAGTTGGTCTGCAGCAACTTCTTAGTATATGTTCAGTGTTTGGGGAAAATTATGATGTAAAGTACAATGATTCTAAAAGTGCCATTAGGATCTGCAGAATCACAGAGGACAGACATTTAACCTTTCCGGTGTTTTGACTTGCTGGTAAGGCTCTTCATATCTCCAGTGAAATTAAATATCTCGGCCATCTGATCACAGTTTGGCTGACAGATGATGAAGATATCATTCGGCAGTATCGTTTGTTGTATGTAAGGGCGAATGCTTTGGTGCGTACATTTGGTTGCTTCACTGTTGATGTGAAGATGACCTTATTCAACGCCTACTGCTCTCCTTTATACTCTGCACATCTGTGGCTGAACTACAAAAAAGCTACTCTTCAGAAACTGCAGGTAGACTGAGATTCTGACCCAATCGCTTCAATACAAACACAATAGCACGATGAACAACATGAACTGTCTGATTACATTCTTCACTCAGGCAGTCCTGGACTGGTCGTGGATTATTCCTGGACGGATCCTGGACTGGTCCTGAGTTTTTGCAGGATTGTTTTCCTCCAGAGAAGAGGTAGTAGTTGCTAGATACCTGTAGCGATAGACAGACATAGACAGACAGACATATATAGAGACAGACAGATATAGAAAAACAGACAGACAGAGATAGACGGACAGACAGACACTTTCTTGATCCCATAGTAGAAATTCAGGTGTCCAGCAGCATAAATACATCCATCCATACAAACACATACATATAAAATGTAACGTTACTAACAATAGTAATAAAGTACTTTAGGTCACAGCAGCAGCAGTGAAGCAGAGAATTCTACTCCACGCAAAGCTGTGGTTTCATCGTCCATTTTTGCAGCTACTGTCAAATGCAAAATGATACTGGTGCATTCTTACACGTCTTTGCGGAGGCCCGAGGAGGATGTGGAGGAATTGAATTTCCTGCTAGGGGTTGCTTGTGTTGTGTTGTAAAGTTCCACTGCCCACTACTGGCCGGGCGCTAGTACGACATTACAATTCACAATACAATACAATTTATTATTGTATAGCCCTAAATCACAGTAGTCATCTCAGAGGACTTAACAAAACCATCGAAATCACCAACACAGAAAACACACAAAAAAGAATATAGAACACATGTTGTTACGGCCGGCTCAGGGCCACAACAAATAGGGAGGCGAGACAGGGGTAAAAAGGGCACAAAGTATATTTAATAAGAACATAAGACGAGTATAACATAACAAAAACAAGGTTTGAGGTGTGAGCATGTAGTAATCAGTGTGTGGTGCAGGTGTGTGAGTGCAATGAAAGACTGTGTGGTGTGCAGTGAATGTGGTGCATAAAACAAAAGACAAACTCAAATGAGCATGGTGGCTCAAGGCAGAGCCCAACAGGACAGGACCAAACAGAGCAGCAGCACAGGAGGAGAAGTGAGCAGCTCTCAGCTCCCAGGTGAAGAGACCCACTGATGAGGGGCGTGGCATGGTGCAGGTGTGTACCTGCACAGAGGAGGAGACGGCAGAGAAGGCAGGCAAACCCCAGACAGCTCCCTCTCCTGGACAGTAAGGGCCTGGCCCGTAATGATGACATGTTGTGTCATCATCACCACAGTCCTTTTTGTTAGACACTAAATGTCCAACAGACCCTCCTGCATTGGCAAGAAAAAACTCTAAAACCCAGTGGGAAAAAAGTGAGAAACCTTGGGGAGATCCACGTTGAGAGAGGGTAGACACTGGTCGTTTTTGTTAATTACTTTGCAGCGTGCTCTGAACACCTCCCACCAGGAGGAGAACCCAGGAAAGACCCAGAACACGCTGGAGGGACTGTGTCTCTCAGCTGGCCTGGAAATGCCTTGGGGTCCCCCGAATGAGCTGGAAGGAGTTTTTGTGGATAGAGAAGTCTGAGCGTCTCTGCTTAGCAGAGCAGCGACCTGGCAGCGGATGAACCAGAAGAAAATGGATGGATGAATGGCTTTGCAGCGTCTCCCTGTATAAACGGGGCCTTAAAGTTCTGAGTTGGGATATCCCAGCTCCTCCCTCTCTCTCTCTTTGATCTTCTCTAATGGACTTAAAGTTCAGGTTACTCAGACACAGCTCAGAGCTTCACGTGGATCCAGCAGCAGGTAACACACACTACAGAAGGTAGAATATACATTAGTCTCAGATTTAAATCAGTTTCAATGTATTTTTGTATTTCCCTAAATCACAGCAGCCGTTATCTCTGAGGACTTTACAAAGCTGTCGATTCGCCAACAACAGATCAGAGAATCAGCCAGTTCAAACACAGGACCATAGAACCATTGGTCCACAGGGGGCAGACGACCAATGCCCATAAATATAGATTGATGTCCATAAATGTTGTTGATGCGGAGTGTCCTGCTCAGCACCACTGTCCTTCTGCATCAGAGAGGAGCGACTCTAGAAATCCAGTGAGAGAAAAGCGGGGAAACTTTGAGCTAAAGGGACACATTGTATTGAAACAGAATCAGGAGAAGGTTTTTCAAATAAAGAACAGAGACGGAGAGCAAAGGAACAAGATATAGGAGAATTACTTTAATCTGAGGCTTCAGTCCAACTCATTAAGTGATTAAGTCTCATCCGTGAGACTGTTTGAACTCGTCCGGTTCCTGCAACAACAACACTCTCTTCACAGTCATGGTGGCTGAGTGGTTAGCCCTCTGGCATCTGAGCAAGAAAGTCTGGGGTTTGATTCCCACTTCAGACAGGGCCTTTCAATGAGGAGTTTGCATGTTGTCCCAGTGTCATGTTGTTTCCACTAACAACATGTACAGTTGGGATCCGGACTAAATGAAAAGAGATTCAGCATTTTTTTTCTGATTAAATAGAGGTAAATAATTAAATAATATAGTTTTATTTTATTTGGGGGCAACAGTGGCTCAGTTGGTAGAGCATCAGCCTTTGGGCCTGAGGGTCATTGGTTCGAGCCCACCGTTAGACCTACTTCGCGACTCCCACTGATGTCTGCTGTTGTTGTGTCCTTGGGCAAGACACTTAACCCCACTTTGCCTGAAGCCCCCACTGAGAGATCTCAGCTCCTGTGGACTCACCACCTGCAGGAGGATCAGTGAGGGGCTGGTTCTCTGTGTACTGGGCGCAGCTCTGACTGCCACCCCCCGACCCAGAAATAGATTAAGGGGAAGAAAATGGATGGATGGATGGAGTTTTATTGTATTTTTAGCTTTAACCAGGATCTTCCTAATTCTTTGCAGCTGTCTTTTACATCTATTGTCTAAAACCTTGTCCCACCGACGCTCTCCCCTTGAGCCGGTCTTCCCTGGTGCGTCCTGCTGCAGCCATGGGCAACGCCAAGAGCGGTGTGGTGTCCAAAGAAATCCTAGAGGACCTGAAACTCAACACCAAGTTCTCTGAGACGGAGATCGTCCAGTGGTACGAGAACTTCAAAAAGCAGTGTCCGTCCGGCCGCATCTCTCAGGAGGAGTTCCAGGCCATCTACTCCAAGTTTTTCCAGGAGAGCGACGCCAAGAGCTACGCCCAGCACGTGTTCCGCTCCTTTGACACCAACGACGACGGGACTCTAGACTTTAAGGAGTACATTATCGCGCTGCACATGACGTCCACCGGGAAAACCAACCGCAAGCTGGAGTGGGCCTTCTCTCTGTTCGACGTGGACAAGAACGGATACATCACCAAGAACGAAGTCAAGGAGATCTGTGGGGTGAGATCTCAGCACTTTGATGTGTTTGTCTTTGCCAAACCCTTAACCCTAAAGATGCAGTTAGCAATGTTGTTATCTTAGCCGTAGCACCAACTCAAAACCACTCCCACCTCCTCCCCTCCGCTCTCCACCAAACCAAACATCCAGTATTTTCTCTTCTTTGTCACAATAGGGAGAGTGGGTGGCAAACGTGAAATTGGCCTTTTCTGTTCAGCCCTTTTAGGTTTTAGAAAATAATCCGATAACTCAGGTGCACTCACGAGAAACAGGAGGAGGGTGAAGGGGGTAAACGCATCCCATTGGTTCGTTGGGGACGAACAAATCCTATTGGTTTATTTTAATTGGTCTGCTCCAAAATATATTTTATACATTTTTGGAGATTATAGGCATCTGGTCAATTCCAATACTATTTGAAAACACATGATAACTCGACTACTTTTAGGGTTTAGGGACGTTTTCCCACAATATAAAAAAAAAATGCATCTGGAAAAAATCACAAACTGCATCTTTAACTAAACTTTGGATAAATATATACTTGATCCCAGTAGGAGTCATTCAGGAGTGCAGTAGCAGCAAGAACACATCCATCCAACAAAACAGATTCATTGATTGGCATTCCTCCAATGGATTTTTGCTTGGTTTGGACCATGAATCCTCTCTGTTCCGGTCTTGACCAGTGTAAAACCAGGAACACTGTACTGCAGCAACATTTGAGGTAGAAAAAAGCAATAAAAATAAAAATCGTAAAGAAAAAAATAACAACTGTTTTTTAGCTACTTAGGACTCAGGACTCTAAAGTAAGCCCTGTTTCCACCATCCCTACTCTACTCTAAGCTAGGAGGATAAAAGCTGTTTGGTTAAAATTAGAGGGAGGAGGCTTGAGTCCAAAACTTGTGTAACAAAGCTTTAACAGCTTTTTCCAGGGTTCAGGCATAAAGAGTGGCTTGGTAAGCAGAGAGAATGAGGGGAATACATGGCAAAACATAAAATACAAAACACAAATGATACTTTTTTACCCTTTTACACAACAATAAAAAACACATAGAGCCATTGGTCCATAAGGCGTAGATGACCAATGTACATAATTGTCCTGGATCATCGCTGTCCTTAGATCCTCCTGCATCAGAGAGGAACCACTCAAAAAGAAGAAATAAATAAATAGTGAAACCTCTGAAAGGCCCTTTTTGAGAGAGAGACGGGCGGACAGGCTGTAGATCCAGGACTGAGGCTGTAGATCCAAGACTTTAATGATATTTTTTTTTTATTTCAGGCCATTTTTAAGATGATTCCAAAGGAGGAGATCAATTCTTTGCCTCAAGATGAAAACACAGCGGAAAAGAGAGCAGACAAACTGTGGAAGATCTTTGACAAACCAAACGACGGTGAGAAACATACGCACTCACAGGGACACACTCCAACTCACAAAGACACACGGGGACACACACTGGGACATGTATTCGCACACACACTGGACGGGAACACGCACACAGGGACACAAATATACACACACTGGGTCACATACACACACCCACACCGGATGGGAATACACATATACACACACATCAAAAGTAGCCATTTTAAAACTTGTCGCTCCTTTGTTAGTGTTTAACCTGTCCTCTGGGTCCAGGTCTATAACATGTGGGGTGTGTGTTGTGTGTCTCTGTGTGTGTGTTTTGTATGTGTGTGTGTCTGAATGTGGGGGGGGATGTGTTGTGTCTGTGTGTGTTTGTACGTGTGTGTGTGTTATTGTATTAAAAAAATGAGGTGTTCAAAATCCCTTATAAAGATGACCATGATTCAGAAAGTTAAATTCAAAAAGGTTTATTTCCCTAATACAAAAAGAATCTAAAACAGCTGTTCGGACCAAAAGTAACTATCCCTTATTCTCTATATAAAATATAAAAGTATGACTTTGAGTGGGCGCTCCACATCAAGCCATACACTACCCCTGGTCCGCAAAAAAACTAACTAAAACACATTCAAGCTATTCATTAAGTAATGTGCAAGAAGAAGGGGGCGTGTCGTATCAGTCAGCTCTCGGTCCCAGGTCCGGCCTCCATCAGGTCTCCTCGTCTCTCCAGACCTAAACAGAATCATTCACACACTCCCCCTCCCCAACCTATAGATTTATTAGTTCCTTTGAGATAAGGCAGAGCGCTCTCAAGGCTTCTCCTCCAGATTCTGGGCTCCATCTCCTTCTTTCACAACTTGAAAGGATTAGCAGAATCCCCCCAGATTAACTATCATTAACTCACCCATGCACTTTGGACAAAATGGGACCAGGGGAGTGGGGCAATACAAGGTCTTTCTTTTTGCTTGGAAACAGACAGAGTTCAATTTCAGGTCAATCTAATTCACATCGCCTTTTAGTCTATATTTAATACAACAGTTCGTATCTGTTGTGTTGCAGGGCGGGTGGCAGAGGGAGAGTTCATTCAGGGAGTTCTGGACGACGAGACAGCTCTACGTTTGATCCAGTACCAGCCGATGAAGTAACCACAGAAACAAGCCACGCTCACCACCATAAAAGGAAGTTTTCTCTTTGAAATTTTGATACAAAACTCTAACACATACAGAACAGACCAAAGGTTTGGACACACTCTCTCATTCAATGGGGTTCCTTTGTTTTCATGACTATTGACTGTAGATTCACACCAGGCTTTGTACAGTAAGGGCTGTTTGACCAATAAGGAGAGTGATGGTGCTGGGCCAGATGACCTGGCCTCCAGTCACCGGACCTGAACCATATCCAGATGGTTTTGGGGTGAGCTGGACCACAGAGTGAAGGCGAAAGGGCCAACAAGAGCTAAGCATCTGTGGGAACTCAGACCATTTCAGGTCCTCTTGAAGCTCATCAAGAGAATGCCAAGAGTGTGTGAAGCAGTAATCAGAGCAAAATGTGCTCCTCTGAAGAACCCAGAATATAAGACATATTTTCAGTTGTTTACTTTTTTTCAGTACGTACATAATTCCACATGAGTTAATTCATAGTTTTGATGCCTTCAGTGTGAATCTACAATTTTCATAATCATGAAAATAAAAAAACTCTTTGAATGAGAAGGTGTGTCCAAACTTTTGGTCTGTACTGTATACATTCCAGAACTAACTATAAACATGAAACACTTTCTTTTGGAAAGAGTTTCTGACATTGCGCATTGTCCTTACGTTTGACTTTGTCTTAAACTCAATCTTAAGAATATTTACTTTGGACAAGATCATATTTGGATAAATGGGTGAAGAGATGACCAGAACGAGCAACACTTCCATCTACTGGTAAACTTTGGAAACTGCAGACATTTGTGGTGTATCGCTCTCTGTAATCCTGGTGTATATTGTGATGTTGTCTTTGTAAATCCACGTAAGAACAAGTGACCAATCAGGAGCCTTCTGTTGCCAAAATCGGCTTTAGTAGCGAGTCACCCGAGAGGGGACAGACATGAGTCGCTTCTGATTGGCTCTTGGTAACTCAGGCGTTGCTATCTGCATAATTATGCATCCATTTTGTTTCTGTGTTACCGTTTTGAGCTAGCTCTAGTCATGTTCTTCAAGCATTATTAAAAGTTCCTGATATTCAAGATTATATTTATTTGTGTAGCTGTAAATTTCAACAGCCATCATCTTGGAGGACTTTACAAAGTTGTTGATTCCTCACCAAGAAATCAGAGAATCAAATGTTATTTTTTCTTGGACTCAAATATTGTAACAAGGTAAATTTGAGATGATTTAGCATCATACGTGTCCTTTAAATATATATATATATATATATATATATATATATATATATATATATATATATATATATATATATATTATATTAATTACCAGAAAAATGTGAGAATTGTTATTGTATTGTATGTATATATTTGTGATGTTTACAGCAGCTTCAACCCCATCGCTGTAGCATTCACCCTCTTTTGTAGCTGTTCATCTTTGTCCTGTCACATGCTCAACTCTCTGTCGTCCATGTCTGTGGTGTTTTCCAGACTCTGAATTCTCGTGTTGTGAACAGTGTTGGACTGTGCTGTCTCCAAACCTTCAATAAATGTTCTGTGTTCCCAGTCTGTCTCTGTTATTGCATCTTTAGTTTTTAGTTCCTGAGTGGATGCAGAGATCTGAAAGTTGAAGAATAACAGACTTGAGGCAGGTTCAGACGCACACATTGCTATGGGGTCTGTATTAGTTGATTTTCCAGTTGTTACACAGTTGGTTCAGGGTTCCCTTCAGACAGAATGGAAAGAGGACATGCATTATAAAGACAATCTACCTCTTTATGCAGTAAAGACGCCATCCGCAGGTGTTACCTAATGACAACAACAGACAGATTTAAACCACTTAAGTGTTGCTGTAGCAGTGTGTTTGGGGTCATTGTCCTGCTGGAAGGTGAACCTCCGTCCTAGCCTCAAATCACGCACAGAGTGGTACAGGTTTTACTCAAGAATATCCCTGTATTTAGCACCATCCATCTTTCCCTCAACTCTGACCAGTTTCCCAGTCCCAGCTGCTGAAAAACATCCCCACAGCATGATGCTGCCACCACCATGTTTCTCTGTGGGGATGGTGTTGTTTGGGGGATGTGTTGTGTTGGTTTGCACGAGACATAGCATTATCCTTGATGGCCAAAAAGTTCAATTTTACCCTCATCAGACCAGAGAACCTACATACAGTACATTTTGGGAGTCTCCCACATGGCTTTTCGCAAACTCAAAACGTGCCATTTTGTTTTTTGCTGAAAGTAATGGTTTTCTTCTGGCCACTCTGCCATAAAGCCCAACTCTATGGAGCGTCCGGCTTATTGTCGTCCTATGTACAGATACTCCAGTCTCTGCTGTGGAACTCTGCAGCTCCTCCAGGGTTACCTTAGGCCTCTGTGCTGCCTCTCTGTTTAATGCCCTCCTTGCCTGGTCCGTGAGTTTTGGTGGGCGGCCGTCTCTTGGCAGGTTTGCTGTTGTGCCATGTTCTTTCCATTTGGTTATGATAGATTTGATGGTGCTCCAGGGGATCATCAAAGATTTGGATGTTTTTGTATAACCTAACCCTGACTTGTACTTCTCAACAACACTGTCCCTTACTTGTTTGGAGAGTTCCTTGGTCTTCATGACAGTGTTTGGTTAGTGGGGCCTCTTGCTTAGGTGTTGCAGCCTGTGAGGCCTTTCAAAAAAGGTGTGTATATGTACTGACAGATCATGTGACACTTAGATTGCACACAGGTGGATATCATTTCACTATTTATGTCACTTCTGAAGGCAATTGGTTGCACCAGAGCTTTGTATGGGCTTCATAACAAAGGGGGTGAATACATATGCACATGCCAATTTCCAGTTTTTTATTTCTGAAAAGTAGTTATGTATATATTTTTCTCAATTCACTTCACCAACTTAGACTATTATTTTCTGATCCATCACATGAAATTCAGATTAAAAAAACATTGAACTAAAGGCTGTAACAAAAAAAGGTAAAAAGATAAGGGGGTGAATACTTTTGCAAGGAACTGTAGCTATACATTTTAATGACCATAACCACGATATCAGTGCTTTGAAATTCTGTGGCCTTGAGAAAGTTCCCCTTCCCTGCAGAGGAGGAGACCACGACCGATTGCTCAAACAGAGAGACTTACTGGATCTACTCACTTCAGACACTAGCTCCAAAAGGTTTGAAGGACGATTTCAATTTAAGCATATTTCTATAAAAAATGTTTTTTTGATATTTTGAAGTCTTCGATAAGGTATTTTGAACATGGTTTAGTTTTCTTAGTATGATATAATGTGTATATGGTGAAATTTAAATAGTACACTGGTATTTTATTAGTGCGTGGTAACTATACGTACCCTTTTTCTATTGTATCAGTTGCACTAATAAAAAATAAATTAAAAAAACATTTCACCTTTCGCCCTCCGCGGGCGGTTATCCCTCTCTACGCTCGGGTCCTCTACCAGAGGCCTGGGAGCTTGAGGGTTCGGCGCAGTATCTTTGCTGTTCCTAGCACTGCACATTTCTGGACCGACATGTCCGAGGTTGTTCCAGGGATCCGCTGTAACCACTCCTCTTGCTTTGGGGTCACTGCCCCGAGTGCACTGATCACCACGGGCACTACTGTCACCTTTACCCTCCAGGCCCTCTCCAGCTCCTCTCTGAGACCTTGGTATTTCTCAAGCTTTTCATGTTCCTTTTTACGGATGTTACCATCGCTTGGAATTGCCACGTCCACCACCACGGCTGTCCTCTGCCCTTTGTCTACCACCACGATGTCAGGTTGGTTCGCCATTACCATTCGGTTGGTCTGTATCTAGAAGTCCCACAGGATCTTTGCACGCTTATTCTCCACCACCTTTGGAGGAGTGTCCCACTTAGACCTTGGAGTTTCCAGCCCATACTCTGCACAGATGTTTCTGTACACTATGCCAGCCACTTGGTTATGGCGTTCCATGTAGACCTTCCCTGCCAGCGTCTTGCACCCTGCAGTTATGTGTTGGATCGTCTCAGGTGCCTCTTTGCACAACCGACACCTTGGGTCTTGTCTGGTGTGGTATATCTGGGCCTCTATCGCTCTGGTGCTCAAGGCCTGCTCCTGTGCAGCCATGATGAGTGCCTCTATGCTGTCCTGTAGGCCAGCCCTTTCTAGCCATTGGTAGAACTTCTTGAGATCAGCCACTTCTGTTATGCTCCGGTGGTACATGCCGTGTAGGGGCTTGTTCTCCCATGATGGGCTCTCCTCCAGCACCTCCTCATCTCGCCACTGCCTGAGACATTCACTGAGTACGTCATCTGTTTTGGCCTTCTCCATTATGTAGTTTGGATGTTTCGTCCTGGACAGTGGCTCTCACACTCACTAGTCCTCGGCCTCCTTCTTTACGGCTTACGTACAGTCTCAGGGTGCTGGATTTGGGATGGAACCCGCCATGCATGGTAAGGAACTTTCGAGTTTTAACATCCGTGGTCTGAATCTCTTCCTTTGGACACCTGATTATTCCTGCAGGGTATCTGATCACTGGCAGGGCGTAGTTGTTAATTGCCCGGGCCTTGTTCTTGCCATTGAGCCGGCTTCTTAGGACCTGCCTTACTCACTGGAGGTATTTGGCAGTTGCCGCTTTCCTCGTCACCTGTTCGAGGTTGCCATTTGCCTGTGGTATACCAAGATACTTATAACTGTCCTCAACGTCTGCTATTGTTCCCTCTGGGAGTGAGATCCCTTCTGTGTGGACTACCTTGCCTCTCCGAGTCACCATCCTGCTACATTTCTCGAGTCCGAATGACATCCCGATGTCATGGCTGTAGGTCCTGGTGGTTTGGATCAGAGAGTCGATGTCTCTCTCGCTCTTGGCGTACAGCTTGATGTCATCCATGGAGAGGAGGTGACTGATCTTTGCTCCGTTCCTAAGGCAGTATCCATAGCCAGTCTGGTCAATTACTTGGCTTAGAGGGTTGAGGCCTATGCAGAACAGTAGTGGGGACAGAGCATCTCCTTGGTAGATACCACATTTGATGGTCACTTGTGCGAG